TTCGATATTGATAGTGTTTTAAAAGGAATGTTTGAACATGAACCAGAAACATTTAGGTAAAATTGTTTTTTTTCTTTGATCAAATTAATTTTTTTAATTAATATTTATTTTCTTGCAGAACACGTCTTCTAAGTGATGTTTATTCTCTCTTAGCTGATTTAATTGATTGGTCTGATAAATTACTTTTATTAAAATATAATAATAGTAATAATACAAAAATTCATATAAATGACAATGATGAATATAAAAAAATTGCTGTCGATCTTATTCAAGCAACTAAAGTAAGAATCAATAAACCTTGAATATACATACGTGTATATATATATATATATGTATTGCTTTCTTCTTCAGAATTGTATTTCATATGCATGTGATACATCTTCAATGAAAAGTGCTGAAACACATTCTGATTCAATTCAAAGTTTTCAATCGACTAATGAGTAAAAACTTTTTCATCATTATTAATCTTTAAATATAGACATAGAGATTTTTTTTTTGTTAGTTCTACGGATGATTTAGCTCCAGCTTTACCACCAAAACGAGATAAACGTCCAGTAAATTCATTAGCTACAATCCTATATAATCGATCTCGAAATAATGGAAGCACAAGTTCTCTTTTATCATCGTCAACATCAAATAAAACCAAACAAGATAAAGATAATGATGAACGTATACAATTAATTGTTGATGATATTAATCAAATTGTTGAAAAATATACACGTGAATTAGATGATGCATTACGTACAAAAACAACGAGTCGTTCTTCATCTATTGATCATTTATCAGAACAAAATCGCTCATCAATATCAACATCACCTTATCATCATCACAGTATTGATACATTATATGAAACAAATGTATCAAAAATAATGAAAAGTACAATAACTAAAACAACAATTAATAATGGACAAGGAATGATTGATAAAAAAGAATCATGTGAAATTTATAATGAAACAGATTGTTCCGTTCTTTCACCAAAAGGAAATTTTAAAACACAAAAATTTACATTAGTTAATCGACAAAAATCAAATGATGATGATGAACAACAAAAAACAATAATGACTAGAATAGATCAATTTAATGAATGTGACAATGATAAAACAACAAATGATCCACCACCATTACCACCAAAACGAAAAACAGGTTTATATGAAAAAAAATTCTTTTATATGTTTCAAAATAAATTCTTTTTGAAAATAATCAGCAGAGGAATCAAATCAAAAACTATGTCAGTCATCACTATGTAACAGAGAAAGCAGAACTGCATAAGAAAATCGTATGAAATAATTTTGACATTTTTTTCAATTCGAGCAAATGCTTTGGTACAATATTATATTCAAAAGAAGTGTATTATTTTCAGTGTATATTGAAAGCGAAAGCAGTCGTGAAATTGTATTTTTCGGTTAGAATTAGATTTTGAAGTTTTATCTCTATATAAATTCATTTAAAAACTATTCTAAGGATAAAACTTCTAAAATAGGAACAAAAACAGGTAAAATTAATAATATAATTTTATTTTTATTTTAGCTCGAGCATATATGTCCTTATTCGATCGATATGATCAAAATGAAGCTGAATTATTTCTTCGTGATACATGTCTTATTCCTACACCACAACGTCGTTTTGAAGATTTATTTGAACAAATTCATCAACGTTTTCAACATATGCAAATACTTTCAAATAGTGATGATTCATTAAGAATGAAAGGAACAACAAATAAAAATGTTAATAAATTAAATGGAACCGTAGAACATATTTTAGTAGTTCGTTTTGTGTTCTCTTTGTTTTTTTTTTCTTTTGAAATGAATTCTGGTTTACTTCTAGTCAAAAGATAATGAAGAAATTAATGCATTTAGTTTTTATGATAATACATTGAAGATCAATTATCATGGCGAACTTTTTCTTGAAAATATATCTCATTTACTTGTTTTCAATCTGGTAAAAATAATTCTTTTTCTTTTGCTTTATATATTTTGGTAGTTGAATATTTCAATTAGAACGAAGATCCTTCATTACGTGGTGGTTCCATAGATGCATTAATTATTCGAGCAACATCACCTGATAAAAAAGGTTAACTATTCTTAATTAGCTTGTGTTTATATAAAATAAAAAAATTTCTTTAGATTTTGTTTATCAAGAAGCATTTTTAACAACATATCGTACATTTGTATCTCCGAGTGATTTAGTTGATAAACTTATTCAACGTTATATATTTTTTTCACAATTTGAACCAAAGAAAAGAATCGCTCGATACGCATTTTCATTACTTATTCGCGTTATCGATGAAATCGAGTAACGAAAAAAATTTATTTTATTTAGTTTTTTATGAAAAAAATTTTCCTTTCTTTCATTTAGTAATGAATTAACTGAAAATTTAATGAAATCTATTTCATGTTTTGTTACAAATCTCATACGTCATGGTGAACTTCAATTAGGAAAACTATTACGAAGAAAATCACTTGAACGTTTTAATAAATTTCAAATAAATAATGAAAATTCACAACAAGATATTGTTCTTATACAAAGTTCTATATCATCGAAACGAGCAACATTACTTGATTTTCATTCAACTGATATAAGTGAACAATTAACATTACTTGATTCAGAATTATTTCTTAAAATTCAATTATCAGAAATTTTATACATGTCTATTGAAAAAGGTGAAGAATATTCACCAAATTTAGCTGCATTTACAGAACATTTCAATAATATATCTTATTGGTAATGATTCATAGATGGATTCAAAGATTAAAAATAAATATATTTTTTAATATTTGTAGGGTAAGATCTCGAATACTTGAACAAAATTCTCAACGACAACGTGAAATTTATTTTGAAAAATTTCTTAAAATATTAAAGGTAATTTTCAAGAAGAATTAAAAACCTTATATAAAAAAAATATTAAATTTTGACTAATATTTCTTTAAATGAAAATTCTTTCTATGATTAAATAACCCATAGTCTATGCTTTTGAACACGAAAATTTCAATACGATTCCATTTGATGTTTTCTCAGTGCGCTTCCAATATTATCGATGACGATTATTCATAATTATATTTAATATAAAAGGGAATAGCTTGTATAAGACAAAATAACCATATAATTACAAAAGTTATCAACATTTATGACATACAGACACGTGATATGTATATATATACACAATGAAAAAATCAAGTTGTTTGTTTTTACGGATTTTGTCGTATCAAATTTATTATTATAAGCCTAAATAGTGAAGTACAAATGCATGGTGTTATGTAGTTGTAAATTGCATGTTACATATTGTTCGTTTTTCGTATTCAATATATGTATCTTATAAATGATCACTGAAACGTCAATTCTTTTAAGCCAAATTACGTTTATAATTCTCTTTTAATCTAATAAATCATGAACTAGCTGGAAAGAGACCTAAACAAAATATCATCAAATGGAAACGGATCGGAAGTAAACTCTTTTCAATAATTGCATATGACATGATACGAAAATTGATAGTAGAATAAATCTACAATAATCAACGTCCCTTATTCTACTGATGACATTAGAAATCTGTTTTTGATATAGTTGCGAGAACAACCTATATTGAAAATCAATGAGATATTTTAGTTCAAATAATTTTCTCTGATATTTGTATTTAGAAAGGGTAGATTGATCTTGTCTATTTCATCGTAACATAATCGAAACTTCTAGATATATTATTTCATAGTATAAAACATATTAGAACTAAACTAGAACAAAATAGCAGTATGGAATTGGTCATGTCAACCATTTGTTTCATATTATATATATATATATGACACTGAAATGACTAATGAAATTTGTAATAGAAACTCTAAAATAATAATAATAATAATAATAATCAATCTTAAAGTTCTATTGTTACATTTTAAAAATGATCTATTAAATTTAGCATTTACGACGATTAAATAATTTCAATTCATATTTGGCTATCCTATCAGCTCTTGATTGTGGTCCATTAAAACGATTAAACTGGTCGAAGAGTATCATCGAAGTAAGCATTTTTTGATAGTATATTTTCTCAATATGAATCTGTTTAATTTAGTCTATATCTGAACACACTGGACTCATTGATAGTACTGGTTCATTTAAAAATTATCGCGAAGCATTAAATGCATCCGTTGGTCAACCATGTATTCCTTATATGTATATAATTAATAGAATAATATTTTTAAAATGATCCTTTTTGTTTTTATCTCTTTTAAGTGGATTGATTCTATCTGATTTAACATTTGTTCATATTGGTAATACAGATTGTTTACAAGATAGTCAAACAATTAATTTTTGGAAACGATGGCAACAATTTACTATCTTACATAAACTTCGTTATTGTCGTAAATGGTTTGTTCTTTGATAAAAATAAATAAATAAATAAATAAATAATTTTCATATTTTAGGGAATATAAATTTACTCGTGATGATCGTATATTGTATTTTTTTAACAATTTTGATGATTATATGAATGAAGATGCTCAATGGATACAATCAGAAAAAATTAAACCAAGACAAAAAACAAATCCTTATGCATGATAATCGAGTTTTAATAATAATATAATCTAATGTATATATGTCAGATATATTTTTTTCTTTACTTTCTTTTGTTTTTATTACATAGTGATGATAAAAACAAAATGAAATTCAAATAAATAATTCGTTTTATTGTTTGTTTATTTAGACCTTTGAGTTTTTCCTCTCTCTCTCTCTCTCAGATTAATCCTTTATATCATAATCTGTAATCATGTTTCCTGATGTTGTTGTTGCTTTTTTTTTTTACATTTTATTGAAATTAGAAAATAATAAAATAAAACCTTCTTGTTTTCTTTCAACCAGATTATATTTTATGATATTATCGAAATTAATTAATTTATACACTGAAAGATTATTATTGAAAAGACTTTTTCATTTAACAATCTATCGATTCGATGTATGTGTTTGAAGAAATCTAGGATTTATAAAGAAGTTTTTATTTTATTTTATAGCAGGAAAAAATGACCACAAAAAATTTACTTGAAGAATACGAAGAAAAACGTGATTTTAAAAAGACTCGTGAACCAAAACCAGTGTATGATGAAAAGAGTACGAACGAATATCGATTTGTTGTTCAAGAACATCATGCTTCAATACTTCATTTTGATTTTCGACTTGAATATAATGGTGTTATGAAAAGGTAGATTTAACATTCAATGATAACAAAAATTTCTTTTTTTTCCTATTTCTTTTATTCTTTTCTAGTTGGTAGGTATACGAATATTTAAAATAATTAAGAATAATTACACATAAATCACATTAAACAGGTCAATACCAAAAGGACCAAGTCTTAATCCTCGTGATAAACGTCTAGCAATAATGGTAGAAGATCATCCAATACCTTATATGAATTTTGAAGGAAAAATACCAGAAGGAGAATATGGAGCAGGTTGTATTTTGTATGAAAATATTTATATCCATGTGTTTCTTTGTTTTTTGTTTCTTGTGATAGGTGAAGTACGAACATGGGATATTGGAACGTATGAATCTTTGAATGATAATGATGTTGATTCAGGAATAAAACAAGGAAAACTAACATTTAGACTTCATGGCAAAAAATTACAAGGTGAATTTTATATGATTCGATCACGATTTGGATCAAAACAACGAGCAAATCAATGGCTTTTAATAAAAAAGAAAGATGAATTTGCGAATGAACATTTTGTACTTGAACGTATACTTGATTATGGTTCACGACGAGATTTACAATCATCAACTACTACTACTGCTAACAAGAAACGACAACGACAATCGACAACAAAATCACCTACACGAACAGCAAAAAAACGTTAATTATTTTATGTTAATTTATTGATCAAGCTTAATTTCGTTTTCGAATAATATTCTAGTCAAGATATACATGGAAATCATATTTTTATTCGACATTAAACATTTAAATTTGCTTTAAATAGACCATTTGAATTTGTTGTTGACATATTTATTGTCTTGATAAACAAATATCATTGACAAGAAAATGAAAAAGAGAGAACAAAAATTTTAAAAAAAATCATGGAGTAATCAATAGATGTAAATACGTGCTTTTTATTATAGTGGTAGTTTGATAGCAACTCCTCTTTTGATTTTTCTAACATAAGATTAAAAAATCACTGGAATAAATTCTCATTTTTGATTGTGTTTTTCGAAAAATTATGAACATATGAAATTATTTAAGAACAAATTTTTTAAAGGTATGTAAGATTCGCACTGATCAGTTACATTATAAATCTCAAATTTTCAAGATACATTGCCACTTTTCTCTCTGATAAACAAATAAAACATGTAAATATAATTGGTAGCCAAATCTCGATACCTCATCATTTAACAAACAAAAGATGCACATTTATATCAAACTAAAGATAAAACCAATCTGTTGATGAATAAATTTTCAATTACCAAAGCAATATCCATGTGATTCTATCATTTCAACCATATTGATAATGATTCCTTAATAAAACCTATAGCCCATCTGAGTTTTCATATAGTTGATACAAATAGATTAGTAAAGAGACAAAATTCACTCAGTTTGCATTTAACATTATTGAAAAAAAAATAAAAATATCATCTAATTCTAAATACTTATAATTCACTAAAACTCTCTTCCTATCAGTTCACTGATGGATTTTATTAGAATTATAATCGTATTTATGTTGAATAAATATGTATTAATTGAAACCCTTTTGAAGAAAATTCTATTTTCGTCGTCGACTGATTTTTAATTGTACATTAAACTTGAGAGTATATTTTACTCTCTACAATTCGGTCTATTTTTTTTGACTATTTCTGTTTTCTAATACTGAAACAGATTCTCGTCCACAATTGAAGAATAAAAGTAAACAACAGAAAACAAGGCATACATAGGTAAATAGTAAACTTTGTGCTTAAGTTTAATGTATAACTAAAAACGAACTGACGAAGACGAATTGTTTCCTCAAAACTTTTTCAAGTAATACATATTTATTCAACATCAATGTGATTATAATTCCAGTACGATTCATGAAGAACATTAACAATATCTTTCCTTTATATAATTATTCATCTAATTCGATTTTTATCTGTTCATCAAAGTGAATTCACATAAGATGTAATGAAACACATACTTTCTCAAATAAACGCAATATATCTCAAATCAAAAACCCAAATTCAATTAACATCTCCATTTTGAAATAAATCTTTAGAATAAAAAAAAACGTTGAAAAATCTTTTCATAACATATTGCGTAGTATTTCTTTGCGACTATTACGAATAAAAAAAAGCTAGTCTTATTCTTTGTTTTTTTTTCTTATATATTTAAACGTACACTTTTTCTTAATGTATATTTGGCAATAAGGATAAGAGAGGAAATACTCAAAAGCAAGCACGACAATTGAGAAATAAACAAAGAAAAATTCAAAGATGAGAAGTTGTCAAACAGTAAAGAGCAGAAAGAAAAAGAAACAAGCAAAATTGTTAACAGATATATGTACGAACAGAGAAAAAAATGAAACATGATTTTCTACTAGACGTGCATAATTGAAAGAAACATTTTGTACAAACCGAAAAAAACCAAGAGAAAGAAAAACCAAAAGAGTCAATATTCAATCTAAGATATTTATACATAATGTCAATCCCAATTAGTAAAAATAATGCATTAACAACAACAACAACAACAATAAAGAAGAACAAAACATATGAGACATTTGACAAATAACAAAAAAAAAAAAGAAATGAAAAACAAGAATCGTACAATGTATTGTTGGCTCATCAATACAAGATTGCACAGAAAGAAAAACGAGATGTATTATATGCACAATAAGAAAACACAAAAAAAAATACTGTCTTGTTCTATCTCGATATTCATTTATAGTTGCACATCATCATTATGTTTACAGAAAAAAAAATACAGGTAAATACTAAAAAAACAAAAAGAAAAAAAAAGTTGTATTGGTCATGTATGTATGTATATGAGACGAAACGAAAAAGGGTAAAGACAAAGGCACCGATAAGCAAGCCATAGCTGCGAAATCATAAAAACATGAACAATTCTACTTATTGTTGCCAATAAGATGGTTGTATTGATTGATGCATTTGTTCCATAAAATTAGGTCCATCAATTGATGAAGATTCAGTTGGCAACAACATTGAACCTTGCGATGTCATTAAATTCATATTTCCATTATGATCTTCAGATTTTTCTTCAGCACGTCGACGTAAACATGCAGCTTTTGGATTTAAATTACGTTCTATAAAAATAAGAAAATCGTTTGTTCATTTTTGTTTAAAAAAAAAGACCAAAAATTCTTTTTTGTTTACCTCGAACTTGTTGTTCAAGTGTTGTTATTAAATTAACGGCTTGTTGAAGTATACCTAGTTTAGTAACTGGTTTATCATTTCGCATATGTATGGAACACATACGACCGAGTTCTTTAAATGCATCATTTATATCTCTTACACGTAATCTACGGAAAAACGAGATAAACAAGTTCCTTTGGAGAAAAAAAGGATTTATTTTTTCCTACCTTTCTCGTGCATTATTTGCTGCTCTTCGATCTTTTTCTCGTCGCTCACGTTCTTCAGGTGTTTCATCAGGATCAATAATACTACCTTCTGATGCTGGTCCACCACGCATACATGATAAATTTATATGACTATTTGGACTTAATGTTAATGAACTTAAATTATTTGACAGAAAAATTATTTTTATTTTTAATTTCAAAAAAAAAAATTTTTTTCAATTACTTTCGCAATTTTGTTGATGATGAAGATGATGTTGGACCAATATGCGTTCCATTAGGACCACCAACTGCTACTGTTAATGGTGTTGCATTCTCTAGTGTTATATCATGTCGAAGATTGAATTCATTTAATTTTTCTGTTGTTAATTGTGACGTGCCATTTGTTGTTGATGGTGGTTTATTTTCAGCATCATTTTTAACTTTATCAAGACATTCACCTTTCAAATCCGAATTTAATGGTGGTATATTAGCATCATTTGATGATGTCGATGATGACACGGATGGAGGATTAGCATCTAAAAAATTGACTTATGTGAAAAAATAATATTTTTGTGATTTTTAGTTCTTTACATGGTAAATAGGGATCATGATGTCGATTTCGTGTTGATGTATCGGATGTTGTTGGATGATTTAAAAATGCTGAATATGCTCCAGTGGAATGTGGATGATGATAAGCAGTATAATAGTGATGATACTCATTTTGTCGAAAAGAATCGTCGACATCTAATCTTGGTGGCTAAAAGAAGTTTCGAATAGGTTTTTTTTAATGTTATTTTTTATTAATGTAAGAAAAAGAATTATAAAGAATTATATATATATATATATGTATATTCCCATTCCCCAGATTATACAAAAATAAAAGAAACAAACCTCGTTTAAATTGAGTAAATAATAAGAGTCATCAGATAGATCGATTAAAGATGTCTGACGTTAGAGTTTAAAAAATTTCATATTAGTTAAAGTCTTTTTTTTTTAAATCATTATTCATAAAAAAAAATACTTACAAGATGATGATATGTTTGCGTTGCATTTATCCATGCTTGACTAGGTCCTAATAAAAACAAAGAACAAAATATATTGAACAAAAAGTGAAATTATTTGTTTCTCTATTAATGTACCATTTACTGGTGGTGATGCAACAGGTGTTGATGATGTTGAAGAATAGGGATGTTCGCTAGGATAAATCTAGAACGATAATTTTTTTTTTAATTTGGAATCGTTATAATATTTATTTGATTTCATACTGATTGTAATGCTTTGCCGAGTGTTTCTCCAGTTTGTACTGTTTGATCACTGCCATTACTCGTATATGTTGTTGATTGTTGAGGTCGAAAACTTGCCATCGATGGTAAACATGTTCCATTTGCATCATTATATGTACCATGATTATTAGCAAGGTCATTCGGTATATAATTTGGTGTTGGTCCTAACCATGGATTACCATTTTGGTTGTCTAATAAAAAAAAGAAAAATAATAATGATGAAAAAACTCTTCTTTTGTTTTTCTTTTTTTAGTTTTACATACCAACATAATAAGCGGATTCATTTCCATAGACTGATTTTCCTGTTGGATATCGGTTAGGATTTTCTGGATTGTAATCCTCCGAAGTATAAACCTAATATAAAAGACAAAAAAAACAGCGATTGTATAAGAGATTGACAACAAATGTCTCTAACATATTAACATCTAACTTATTTTGATTGATCTCATGTGCAAATACTTTATAATAAATCTCACAAGTACTTTCTTCATTACATATACACATATATAGATATGTATATAGATTCCATACCAACTAAATCAATTCGAATTATTTTTCTCTAGCTATGCTTGATTATTATCTTTCTTTCCAATGGACACATAGAATAATACACATTTACCAATAGTAAACATCGTTCTATAAATATATACAGAACGAAGTTTTGATAATGACCTCATAAAAGGGAAAAAATGTGCGGTATACTTTTGCTCATCACTAAAATCAACAGTCTCAGATTGACGACGTATCAGTTCATGAAAAAAACACTTCGATCACCCGCTGATTTCTATGTTGGCTAATCAAGAGAAAAAAAGTTCGTTTGTTTGTGCTCACTCGACACGAGATCAAAGGACGTGCGATCGCAATCCATGCTGACATTCAGATCGACTTCATTGAGTAAACGTAAATGTGTTGATTAGCATTATCTTTCTCTGTTCTCTTCTCGTTTCGATCAATTGCCATTAAAGCAAAAGAAAACCACGTAAAACTTTATTTTCGAGGTGACAATTTTAATCCAAAAGATCTTTTCATTTCTTAAGAT